AAATTATAACTTTTTAACTTTTTATATTTGATGTTTAATTAGGTTTCTTTTTTTTTGTTATTTAACACAGAAATGGCTTTGATTTTGTGATAGGAAAACAATATTGTAAACACCGGTGAAATTTTAGTAATTGTTGCTGTTTAAAAAAAGTGTTTTGTAAAAAAAATGGAAATTAAAAATTAATCAACTTTTTGATTGGCACATTGTTTAATTACTAAGGTGTAGGTTAATTGTTGGTGTTAATTAGCAGGCAAATTCAATATTTTCATTATGATTGAAAGTGATAACGTTAGTTTGTATAGACAACAACATTGAGATGAAGAAGATGAATTCGAGAGAGAGAGAGAGAGAGAGAGAGAGAGAGATGATAATAAGGATAAAGATGCTGATGGATTGTAAGAGAGAGTAGTTAGTGAGCTTATCATCGTGTGTCTTCAAGAAAGATTTTACCTTTCTCACTCTCACTCTTATTCTCTCTCTCTCTCTCTCTCTCTCTCTCTCTTCTTTCTTCCTCTCTCACTCCCTTACAATCACAATATCGACAATCAAAGTCTCTCATTAATTGCTGGCACGATTAAACTTACATCCACCATTGATATTTGCTACTCACTTTGTACTGATGGGTTCATGAACGAAACACTGACAGATAATGTCAATTAAAAAAATACTAACATTGGGATGACGATGACGATGATGATTATGATGATGATGAGAGAGATAAAGAAAGTGAGAAGATGGATTAAGATGAGTGATAACAAATGATAAAAATGATGCGTTTCATTGAATCCACGGTGGGATTGGTGATAGAAAAAAAAAGAAAACGACAAATTAATCGAAATGTCTTTATCTTCCTATTACCTACTCTCCCTCTCCCTCCTTCTCTCTCATTTATCTTCTTCTTAATTCTCATCATATCATCTCTTCCCTCCCCTCATTAAGGAGCTTAATTATTGTGGTAAATCCAATAAAATGGCTCCGGATTAAGTTAACCCTTTTCCCCTTCCAAATCATATCATCATCAATGGAAACACAAGATGATCAGACTTTTGGTATTAATTGTTGAATGATCACCTGAACCAATTTATGTTCATTCCTAACAATTAATCAGTGGAAATTACATCTTTTAATTAACGTAAATTAATCACAATCTAAATTTAAAACAATGTTAATTTCCCCCACTTTCCAATTGCAATTAAAAGGCGAAACTGATTACATATAATTAACTGTCCAAGTTTTTTTTTATATTGTACTTAATCAAGGAAATGATTTAAATTGTAATTATAATTGTTGGATTGATAAGCAAAGGGTTAATCACTATTATATTAGTGGAAAAGTTTAATTGTTAAACTAAATTGTTTGACAGTCTCCTTTAATTAATACTACAATTAAACGTTTTTTTTACTTCATGAGAACCATCAATTTGTTATTGTTGATTAACAATCAGTTGATTTAATTTGTGTCAACCTTGACATGTCGTTACTTTGACTGATTAGTGATTATAGTTGATTAAATTATAATGATAATCAATGGACTTATTGGATTTTACATGTTGAACAATTATAATTAGCCAATGAAAAACCATTGATTAAATTGTTGAAATGTTAAATTGTTATCCAATAATTAAAATACTGATGATGATTACAAAGGGATTAGAAAACTTTTTTACCGTTAACAAGGATAATCAAAAATTGATTATCAATACAATCAGTAAACTATTCAATTATTTCATTGTTGTTGAAACAACAAGGTAACTAATCTTAATCACTTGAAATTATATTTGATTAGTCTGATCAAGATACACAATTTACCTTAATAAACGTCCTTGTCTAATCAATGGACTTAATCATCAACTCAAGTGGCAAAGGGTAATTGTTGCAATTGGATTAACCAAAACTAAGCTAATCAGTTAATTTGATTGCGATTTGGGCAATTGAAATTATTATTATAACTAATTTTTCATGTACTTTTTCATAGTCAGTCAAATTTAAGGATTTAATTGCGATTTTAATCATGCAGATTAGTTTAATTGTTACCAAGATTGTCTCATTATCTGTATCATCATCTTAAGTTTATTTATTGCAATTAATCAATTGGTTTGAATTTGTTTAGTTTAAGAGCCCTGGCAAAAAGGAAGTAAATTACGTGTGTGATTGATTACAATTAAATGGTTACAATCAAATAATTATTATCTAATTGTTGTTTGTTTTGGTGAATGAAGATTATGAAATTTGAGTGGATTATTCTGATGATCGTTATTACCTTTGGACTTTAGGGATTGACAAGAACGACGAAGTCGGTACGATTATGGAAAAGGCCTTAACGATTTCAATAAGTACAATTAGCTGATTAGATTGTTAAGAGTCTAATTTCAATTAAGCCTTCGACAATTTTAATTGTTGATACAATAAACAACAACAACAACAACTGAAAGAGATTCAATATTTGTTCAGATACTTAATTTTTGTTGATTGTGAAAATCCTTAATCAATTCAGATTCATGAGGTAATTTGATTGGAAATCAATAATTAATCGAGATCGATATCAATATTAGTCTTAATTGTTGTCCAACATTACATCAATGAGGAATTGCAATCAACGGTTATAAGTTAATTTTCTGGTTAAAACTGCAAAATCAATGACGTTGATTGAGTTAAATTAATTTTACAACAAATGATCAACAACAATCAACTAATTTTGCATCAATCGTTCAATTCAATTAATTTGCAATTGATTTGCATTTGATACTTTGCAATTTAGATTGTTGTTAATTAACTGTTTGAATCAGCATAAAATAAATGGATACTTGAGACTTGATCAATGATCTTAATTGATGACAATTTAATGAAATTAGCAGTGATCAATTAAACTCAATGATTATCAGTCTAGATAAATGAGTTAAATTAATTAACCATTTTAAATTTTTATTTATACCTAATGATTTGTAGGATTTAATTACATTGTGATTGCAATAATCAAGTATTCATGTAGGTTAATTGTTGCTTCAGGTCAATGGTTAATTAATTTCTTGATTGTTGAAACATTTTTCATTAATTGTTATGAAAGTGATTGAAAAAAAAACTTATATAACAAAATGATTGGGTTTATGTAACTAAATGATGAGACAATTTCAATATTTGTACTTTGATTGTAACAATCAAGTGAATGATTGATTAAAGATAAAAAATTATTGTATCTTCATTGATTTAATTGTCGCCATCTATTGCATTTAAATTGTTTGATTAAACAAGAAAATAAATGGTTAATTGTGAATCTGATTACTTAACCAACAACAGCAACAATTAAATAGTTGGAAATGATAATCAAATCTTCAATTGATTGGAAAAAAACAATTAATTAATAATATCTCTTGACAATTAAGTATTGTTGTTAAGTTAATTTTTTATTACTCGATAACAATTGATTGGATTAACTATCTCTTAATCAAATTGATTGTGTTATGAATTAATCACTAATCTGATTAGATTTTATCATCATCATCATCATCAAATTATATTATTATTATTATAAAATATCAGCTGGGAATTTAAATTGTCATCTTAATTGTTGTCACTAATTGTTATCAAGTAATCGCTTGATTTTTTGCTCGACAATCAATTAACCATTGTTCACAATTAGCTTGGTAATTAAATTGTTTCGAGGTTAATCATGGCAACAATTAAATGATCAACCAATTGAATTAGAGGACAATTTATAAACCACTAGATGATTAGCTCTTCAACAGTAAATCAAATTAAATTACAATCAAACTGAATTAGTTAATTATCTCAAGTAATTTTCTTCATATTCTTAACAATTTACCTTGATTAATCAACTGATTGTCTCAATTAAAATCTTCATGATAATATTTCAAGGAAGTTAATCAAATATGTGTAACATTATAAATATGAATCTAATTCAGTTGTGATTAGTAAATTGTTCAATATTTGATTTAGGTTTAGAATGGAAAACAAAACGTTAATTAATTATAATAATTAAATTGATTGTTATCTCATCTCGTACATAATTGATTCCCAGAGTGTTGATTGAAATTAAACCTCATCAAGTCTTGATAATTACAAAGTCTAACAATTAAACAATCATATTGATCACCTTATTATTAAGATTATCAATTGATAATCAACTGATTCTCATAACAATCTGTTGGTAACAATTAATTTTTTTCAATAACAAAAAAAAGTCAATTTCTAATCAAAATTACCATATAACATAACGACAGTTTATCATTACCAAGTTAATTAAAGGAAGTTAATTAGTTAATTAGTGTCTAATACCATTTGATTAGGTCTGATCTGTCAAAAATCCTAAAACAATAATCAATTGTTCATCTCAATAATTATCATTATTATTATTGATTAATGATTGATTAAGGAAACTCAATTAGATCTGATAGATTGTGATAGTATTTTGTACATTGAATATAACTAATTAAAACTGATTAACCAACAGAAAGATAATCATTCTGATTGGTAATTTATATGAAAAATTAAATTGACAATGACGTAAATTGATCAAGGCTTAGTAACAGTAATTAATTTGATTACCGTAATTGTAATTAATTAATCGTGAAAATAGTAAACAATCAAAAGTGGTTCAGTTTTTTTAAAAAAAGCATTAATTGTTTACTCTGAATGGTAAGAAAAATAATCAAGTAGTTAACATATAATACTAATAATATACAATAGTAATTAACTAACTAGAAACAGCAATTAATGAGTGCTCATGATAACAAGTATTAATTATAAGATGATGATCATGATGATGATGAAAATCACACAAACAGATGATTAATATAATAGGAAAGTTTCCAAAAATTTCAAATGTTATTATTTGATTTCTGGAATTGGATCAGTTGAAAAAATTCAGTTCCATGGGAAATCATCATGTCAACGATATAATGATAATATTCATAACCTTGGAATTTCAATCTCTCGAAAAGGTTCAAGGTATTAAATTGTTAATTGTGATCACAATTAACTATTTAATTGTAAAGATTACAATATACACAAAATGAGAAGCTAACAGTGTATTTGTATATGAAAATTAAAGTTAATTGCTACTATCAATTAATGTTAATTATCTTTAAATTACAATTAAGATATTTTCTTGATCAGTTGATTAAGATGATCTTGAGTGTTAGTCGATGGATTGAAAGAGAGAGCAGATTATAAAGTGAAAAATTCAACATTCACAGAGAAACATAAAGTTATTGATAGAATAGTTAATTGTTGATTTGATTGTCTTGGTTTGCCTTTTTGTTTCGTTCACAATTAACTTAATTCATTAATGGATAATCTATCGGTCAATGAGGGTAAAAGAAAATCCCTCATGGAAAAGGTCAATCAAATTCCAGGTATCGGTTTAGTTATGGCCATGGGATCGGGTATTTCTCTGGCCACTGGAGGTTTAACCGTTAAACTGGTTGATTCACTTTCGGGAATTGAGATTGCCGTTGCTCGGTGAGTTAAATTGTTATGATATTGTCGAGTGATTAACGTGATAAATGTGATCTTTATCTTTAGTTCTTTGGTAACTTGTGTATTGGTTTTCATTTTCATTCTGTTCCAACGGGAATCGTTCATGCCACCATCGGGTGAACGTTTCCCTCTCTTAATGAGATCAGTGACTGGATGTATTGCATTGATTTTCTCATTCTCAGCAATTAAGTTAATTCCTCTCGGTGATTCACAATCAATCGTCTTTTCATCACCAGTGTTTGTCTCGATACTTGGATGTTTAATTCTTAAAGAACCTTGTGGAATAGTCCAAATTTTTTCCGTTTTCATGGCGATCGGAGGCATTTTTCTCATCTCAAGGCCAAGTTTCATATTCCCCTCGAACGATGTTACATTAGTCTCTACATCTTCGAATCGTACCCTTGGCCTAACGTTTGCCCTTTGCTCGTGTCTCGGTGCTTCATTCACATTCATATGTATGCGTCGATTACCCAAAACTCCAGCATCGGTTGTAGTCTTTTGGTATTCAACATTTTGTGTAGTCGCTGGTACAATTGTCTCATTTACCAATGGTACATTCACCTTACCGGAAACACTACATGATTATGGTTTACTTTTACTCTGTGGATTGACCGGTCTATTTGGTCAAGGGATATTAACACTCGCTCTTAAGATTGAAAATGCTGGACCAGTTTCCTTGGCTCGATCAATTGAAATCGTCATGGCCTTTATTTATCAAGTAACGATTCTGGGTGAAAGTGTATCAATATATTCAGGCATTGGTGCCATTGTCCTAGGAATCGGTGTAATTACCGTTGGTCTTCATAAATGGTACCTAAGTGACCCTCAACAATTTAATAGTATTTTCTGTTGTAAAAAAAAGTCCAACACAACAGTAAACACTTTCTCCAATCAAACATAATCATTTAATCATGGAAATAAATTTGATTAAATTAATCCATTTTTTTCCTATCATCAATGTCATCACAATTAATAAAAATCTCTCTTTCCAAAGACAAATTTTGTAACTCTTAACATTTTCCCTAAATCTCATCAAATGATTAACTAAATTGTTACACAATTAATTAATTAGCATCAGTTGCGTGTAACTTATGATGAAAAAGGTAAATTGATTAACATTATAATTTCCAATAGAAACAATTAACTAATCCTGTGATGGTGATTTAAAGATTATGTTGTATTACATTACAAGCCTTTTGTATGTAGCAATTTGTTATTTGTTAATTGTGATTAAGTTAATTGTCACTCTAATCAATGGTATAAGGATAAGTGAGAGGGAATCACGGGTGACAAAGATAAACAATGGAAAGTTATTAACGATAACAAGATGACTTGGGATGAAGATGATAAGATGGATTTAATTGTTTTCTTTTTTTTTTGGTTAATCATAATCTTTGCAAATTACTGATCAAGGTTTTCCTTTTTCTCGTTGATTTTCTGAAATTAGTTAATTGTTACTCACTTGATAATCGTTCATCATCCTGAAATCCAACGTTAACATAAGCTCTTTTCGATAGACTATCAATGGGCATTGAATAGGAATTAATTGATGAGGGTGAGGTTGAAGGTGATGGTCATCATCGTAAAGTCCATTTTGTCGGAAAGTTGAAGGCTGAGAGAAATGTCGATGACCAAATTGTGAGGCATTGTGATAATTTTCAATTGGATGAGCATATTGAGAAACTGATGAGGACAATGTTGATGATGAATTTGATAGATGATTATTATTACTATTTGAATGATGGTGATGGTGATGATGAGCATGATGATGGGGAGGAAGAGAATTGTGAGAATGGTGAAATGATACATTTCCAGGTAATGATGATGATGATGCACCATCAACGTAACATGGTTTATCAAGAGCTCCATAACTTTTAACATAGGTAACATCACCACCACCACCACCACCGCCACTACCACCACACCCAACACCACCTTCACCGTCAATACTTGATGGTGTTGATGGATGTGAGATGAAATTACTGTTATCAAGATCCATGTTGAATTTGATTGATTCAGAATCGGTGAAATCATCATTGTTTATATCAATATGAGGATTGATGGTGGTCACTTTTTTACTACCTGAGCTTCCCGAGTTACTTGAACGTTTCATATTGACGATAATTCAATTTGAATTTGAAAGTTTTACAATTTATAATATAATAAAATGTCAATCACTTGTTGTTGCAATTTGATAACAACAATAACACAAAAGTATTATAAGTGTTTCGTTGATTGTTAATTGCTAATTTAAGTTTATTTCTCTCTCTCTCTCTCTCTCACTTGCTTTATTACTATTACTAGATTTGACTATCAATTTATATATCAACTTGATTGTTTCGAGAGACTAAGGAGAGTAAATTGTGAGTGAGAAAGGGAGGCAGGGAGAAATAGAGAGAGACTGTGATGAAGAGTGGGAGTGGGAGGAGGAAGAATAAAGGAAACTTGAGTTTTTTTTTCTTCTTCTTCTTGATTTACAGTTAGTTAATTGTAGAGAATGGGAAGGTTAAGTGTATTCGAATGTGAATCAACTTGAATTACATATTTAGATTTACTAGGTTGTCATTTAAATAGCTAATGTGTCGATTATCATGGAAACAATTGTTCATCATTCTGGGAATCGATGATTATATCGATAGAAAAGATTATTTTTCGCTTGATTCAATGCATTCGTATTTGATTGTCTTATTATCAGATCATCAGATCATCTACTAGATTAGATTAACTTTTCGGTGTCAATTGTTTGGTTAAACTAATGAACTAAGGACCAAAGTGTTAATGGTAAAGGGAGAATCAATTTTTACCGTTAGATTGAAAGAGGAGATAATCTTAATAGGAGGACATGGAGATGAAGCTTTTTGTCAATGGAAATTGAAAATTGATGAAAAAATGAATGAAAAAGTTACAATTTCATTTGTCTTTTCGTTGATTGTAACAGTTAATTAGTACCTTTTGATGGTTTACATGGACATCAATTGATAGGTGATGGTTTATATGTGACAATTAAGAGCACGATCACTTAATTAGGTTTTGAGGCTTTGGTGTAATTCCTTTAATGGTAATGAAATAAATGATGAATGATCTTGTAAATTGAATCCTTCCAATTAATAGAATCATCAACAAGATTAAGAGATGAAAATTATTATTAATTTTCCATCAATTAGTTAATTTATATTGTCATTTAATTGCTCCGAGACACCGGGTTTCATTAATCAAATTGATTTGATTGATAAACAACAACAAAAAAGTTAATCGTTTTCCTAACAACCCCCCTTTTAGATTTAATTGTGATGATTAAAATGATGATGAGGGATTAAACGATTTAATCTCATAAATAATCAACAATTGTTTAATTGTTTGCAACCCAATTAATTTGATTAAAGCTCAATCAGTTAATCGATACGCAATTAAATCAATAATCATCAGGTTTTCATCTATTAATTCAAAGTTACACTTGAAATCATTGAAAAAGTTAACAACACAATAGCAAAAAGGTTAACCTAAGGTTAACAATTAACGGTAGCAATTAACAACTCGGATGACACTTTATTATATTAATAAAAACAATAACCAAATTAAAATTAATCAAATAAAACAGGTGATTAGATTGTGATATTAATTTAGTTCAACAATTAGTTAACATGGTTGATGGAAACATTTTCCCATTGATAGAAATGATTTTTTGTTTCTTGTTAAATCAAATTGTTGTTGATCACGATCATCATGGTGGTTAATTGATTATAATCAATTAAATGTTAATCAACTATTGAGACTCGTCACAATTAGATTAATCTAATTTGTTTACTTGTGTAATCTCACTGATTAATTAAAACACAACAACAATTAACAGACGTAGTTGATTAAAATGATTCATCTGAAAGTTTTTCCCTCGCTTTCAATTGAGCTAATCAGATATTAACGATGTATCCATTTGATTTTGTTTCAATCACAATTAGTTGATTAATTAACTAGATATCAATTAATAATGATAATATATGTAACTATGAGGTAAACTTGAAACAATTAAATCTTGTTGATTATGTTATATGATTACAATCAATTTGTTTAAGGGTTAACATGGTAAATCAAGTAGATGGTTAAAGTTGATTGTCTTTTGGATTATTGTATTCATGGTATTGTTGTTGTTTAGGATAAAATTAATTAATCACTTAGAGAAAAAGGTAAATGATGATTAGTTGATTGTTTACGTTAAGAAATCATTGAGATGACAATTAAACGGAGTTTGATTTGTTAAGAGGCAAATTGATGATGATCATTTTCACAATTTAATTGATTTGAATTTTGCTGTTTCTTTGTATTGATAATTTCAAGCTCATTTAAAAGGGAACACAGTTAATTAACTAATTATATCAAATAGATAATCAATAGATATTGAAAATTGTTGTTAATCAAAAAGTAGTAAAAAGATGAGCTATTGGGTTGGGCTGATTACTTAAATTGTTGATTAACAGTAAACGAATCAAATCTTACTATTAACATGATAAGAATCAAATGATCATTAAGTTGGCAAACTTGTAGCAATTAGTGGTTCTAATTGTAGAGACTTAATTGTTTCCATATTGTCAGCAGAAAACAAAATCCAGAACAAGATTAAACAGTTCGAGAGTTTTTTTAATCACATTCTAGATCATTAATCACTTGGAAATCACATTAGAGACAATTAACTAACGTGTTGACCATTAACTTACTCAACAAATTAATCGACGATTAGAAATAGTAAATTGATTGTTTATTGATTGTTTTTCATTTTCTCTGTAAAAAAATTAAATTGATCAACCAGAAAACCAGAAATCGAAACATAAACAAACCAGAATTGGTGATGCAATGATTCCCATGGTTCCTAATATTAGATTGACCTTCATTTTAAACTTGGATCGAAATCAAAAATTAAATCAACTAATCACAAGATTAAGGGTGACAATTAACCATGAGAGATGATTTTCTAATAATAATCTTAATCCCTTAATCCTTGTTTTCTGTCTCATGATCAAAGTCTATTGATTCATAAGTATTAATGATAATCATGTTCACAGTTGAAACGATTAACTTTTGTCACTGATTGTTAATTGTTATTACATCGTAATTATATTTGGTTGATTGTATAAGTTGTAATAATAACCTTGGATTGATTATTGTCTATGTCTAATGTTCTCAACGAGGACAATTAGTTGATTGTTGGAGGTAAATCGTTTCTTTAACTGTCTTTTTTTTAATAACAAACAAATACTTTTAAACTATACAACGGATTTGATAATTTTGTCATAATATAATAAATATAATAATTATTAAAATTATAATATTTCATCTATGTGTGGATGTGAATTAAATGTCAATTAAAATTACCAATGTATAAATTGTAGTAACAAAATAATCTAATCAGAGTAATTAATCATTTATGATGAGCAGCTGATGCAGCTCCTTGTAATTGTCTCATCATATTTTGTAGGCCACTGAATCCACCCATTTGTTGTAATATCCTTGGGTCCATTGATTTAGCTAATTGTTGATTTAATTTAGCCATTTGCATTGGATTAACGTTCTTAGAGATGTCACCTCCTTTGAAGAAACCTTTGATTCCTCCCATTTTCTTGACCACAGCGGCAAATTTAGTAAATTGTGTCAGGAGTTCATGAACTTCCCTGGACGTGACTCCGGCTCCTCTCGCTACTCTGATCACGCGGGTCGGCTGCTTTTGGAAAGTTTTAGCACCATCTCGATTATCGAGTTCACTATCACTCATTGAATCCATGATTGTCATTAATCGTTTTAATTTTGCCATAGAATCTGCTTCAGATGCTCCACGAGCCAATTCCTGTCCGAATCCGGGAATCATTTGTAATATCTGATTAAATGGACCCATTTTCATTATATTAGTAAATTGTTCATACATATCACGTAAAGTAAACTCTCCATGTTTAAGTTTCTCAATTAATTCCTCATTATCATCCAATTTTAGTTCGTTTACTTTATCAATAAGA